CAACAAGGACCTGGACTTGCCGACACAGCAAGAGCTGCTTGCGCAATTCCGTTGCGATGAGATCTCGAGGGAGGTCCTGATTGGTTTCGATACTGCCGTCGTACCGCTTGAGGAGAAGCAGACCGAGTCGGCCAGAGCCGGTAAGCCCGCGGTACTGGCCGATCTGGGTGTGACGGGACGCGAGTCTCGTGAGAAGTGTCTTAAGGCATTCGAGATTCAGGCCAGCAGATATCACAAGGGTGTCTACTCGCGCAAGCGCCAAGACTTGGAAGCTAAGATCGACGGCCGCCTTAAGACGCTATACAACGCACAGCTGTCCGCCGCTCACAAAACCGCCATTGCTTCCTTCAGTGAGCATGTGTCGGGCGCAGTCAAGGCTGGCCAAAAGTCCGGTGCGGCCTACGAGTTTGCTGAGATCGTGACCGAGGAGAAGAAGAAGACGCTCGAGTTCTTCAAGACGGAGGCCGAAAGCCTCGCCATCCCTGGCGTTGCTTGGTCCAACTTCAAGTCACAGTATGTATTGTTTGAGAAGGAGCTGGACGACGTGAGCGGTAAGCTGCGCAAGGAGGAGATGCGCCGGTTGGCCACGAGAGTGGAGCGATGGGTCAAGTCCCGCTTGGGCGATGCGATTGGCCTCGAATTCAACAAGCTCGGCTCCGGTAGAGCTGGGTCCGGCGCCCCTGAGTCTGGCGAGAAGCCTGCAGAGAAGGATCTCTGGGACCGCATCTGGACTGTCTTTGTCGATATCGTTAAGGACGCACAGGGTAGGTTCACCGACCGTGCCAAGAGCTTCGAAGCCACCCAGGATGAGGTCGAAGTTGGTCTCTGGCGCCTCAGGCGCAAGAGTTGGGTCGCTCTGCGCGAGAAGATTGAGGAAGAGGTCATGGAGGGCAACATTTTGTTGAAGCTGAGAGAAAACTTTGAGGACAAGTTCAGATACGACGAGGCCGGCGTACCGAGAATCTGGAGACCCACCGACGACATTGAGGGCATCTACACCAAGGCGAGAGAGTCGACACTGACGCTCATCCCATTGTTGTCGAAGTTCAAGCTTTCAGAAAGCTACGGACCTCCCGAGCTGCCTGCCTGGATTGGAAACCAACCCCGTGGCGTTGAGCCTAGTGACGAGGAAGACTTGACACCAATCGGTGGTGTTGATGAGGAGGATGGAAAGAGCCTCGAGGAGGAGATGACTGTTCTCAGTGAGAGCAAGCGTCAAGACCTCGTCATCCGGTTCAAGAAGACAGCGGACGGTGTCTACGTCGAGGCCAAGCGTAGTGCCATTGGCGGTGTCGCACAGGTACCGCTGTACTTCTATGCTCTGCTGGTGGCTCTTGGATGGAATGAGATCGTCGCTGGTGAGATTCGTCGCTTTATGATGTGTGTTGAACCAGATACTAACTTACGACAGTCCTGCGCAACCCGTTCCTCTTCGTCTTCCTCATCATGCTCGCCGGAGGAACCTACGTCGCGTACACGCTCAACATGCTCGGTCCCATGTACCAGATGGCCAACGCGGCCGCCAACCAGGGCGTCGAAATCGGCAAGGCGAAGCTGCGCGAGTTCATCGAGAACTCGGACACAGCGCGGCAGGCGCTCGCCATGCCCGCCCGCGATAGCGACTCCATCAGCATGGACACACTCGACAGCCGGGGCAAGAAGAAGAGCGCCGAGGATGATATTGATGACATTTAGACTTTGTCTCTCTCGCGCGCGCGCGTGCTTGTGTGTTTAGGTTAAGGTAGTCGTGACAGCTGAAAATGATGCTGCGTTCCAGACGCCCGATAGAGCGAGGGAAGAAGGGGTTTTATGAATAGGGAGGCAAAGGATATAATGTCTATAAGATACGTTTTTCAGTTTTGATGATGTGCCACGTGACACAAGTGAGACTTACAATGAACCGGTCAAGCTATTGTTGTGTCCAGTTATTCCTTCGCGGCATAGGTTAGGTCACAGTAAGCGTTTCCCTTGGGATAGTTTTTTATAAGAAGGGAGATCTGCTTTCACAGGCTTCATCTCTCAGATCGCTGCTCTTTGCCGACAAATCTGCTCGCAAAGTACAATTTTTCACAATGGCAATGTGATCACAGAAAATGGAATCCAATATGTAAGAAACGCGACTTCGTGGATATTGACTGATGCAATTATAACCTCCCTTCGAAATCACATAAAACAACCGCTACTCCTCATGATAATCCTCCAACTCGCTCATCTCGCAACACGACGCAAGCTCTTAAACACGTCAAGAGACCCAACCATCATGGCCAGCTCTCACCGCCAGCTCTCTCCCCTTAGTTAAATGTCCCGTTCTTGGGCCCAAAAGGAAATTTCCCTCCAACAACTCAAGACCGAGTCAAACGGGCGACCTCTTAAAGCTTCTTCTGTGGAGAAGAAGATGGGATATCTCGCAAAACACACTGCCGCCAACCAAATAATTAAAGAAACCCCAACAGACGAGCTGGTGAGGCACGCCGTCTCCATCATACATATCTTGACTTTCAGCCTATGGTCGTATCCTGGGAGAACCCGGCCTCTCCGCTGCTCATCTCGCAACCCTGGGCAAAGAAGATACGAGCTGGGTTTTCATAATCATTGTGAATACTGTAGTAATTGCCTGCGCGACAGTCAGTAAATCATTCACACTCGAGACGCAGATTGGAACAGCTTACCTCTCGGGACGAACCACATGCCACCGGCGCTTATTCTGAACTGGGACTCATGCACCGTAACCAGGACCTTGCCCTGGAAGACGAAGAAGACCATTTGCATCTTGCGCGAGTTCTTCGGCCGCTTTTCCGCGCCTGGCGGGAGGTCGACGACGCCCGAGCCGAAGAACGGCAAGCTGAGCGTCTTTGCGAAGCGGAACGTCGCGTCCCGAATGTCCCTCGTCTGAATGGCGCCTGCAGCGACGGCGATCCGCTCCTCGTCGATCTCGACCTGCTCGTTGATAGCAGGCGGGTTGAACTCATGCTCCGGTTGCCAGACCACAATCTCGCCGTCGACGCTGCCCGGGTCCTGCTCCCACGGCTCCGCCGGCTCCTCGTCCTCGGATTCGACCTGTTGTCGCCGCCTGCCGGCCTTAGCAGTAGGCTTGCGGCCTCTCGGCTTGCCCTTCCGCGCAGCCTCCCGCTCCTCCTCCTCGACGCGGACGACCTCCTTGACGCTCGGGAGGAGGAACCTATTGCCCTTCTTTCCGTCTTCGAAAGCCTCGTCCTCGTCGTAGGTGACGTGCTCGTTCTTCCAGAACGCCAACGGCCTGTATGACTGGCGACCGGATCTCGTGTGGGTGATGGAATGAGGGTCCTGCTTCTGCTTCTGCGAGACAAGACCGCGCGCCTTGGGCATGGGCGGTCCCTTCTGCACCACGCCCAGAATTGAGTCCTCGCCCGCTGCGGCTTGCGGCTTGCGTCCTGGCCTGCCCTTGGGTCCGGGTTTGGCTTTTGAGGCGGCCTTGGCCATCTGCTTCGATGATTCGCCCTCTTCCTCCTGAGGTAAAGCTTTAGGCCGCCCCCTTGCTCCGCCGGTCGCCTTCTTTGGTTCTTTCCGCTGTCGTTTGGATGCGCGATCGTCTTCCTCCTCCTGCTCGGCCTTGTCTCCGTCGGAATTACGCGAGCGTCTTCGTTTGGGCGCGCTGACCTCTTCCGCTTCGGGCTCAGGTTCGTCTGACTGGGTCTTCTCCTTGCCCTTACCTTTTGCTGGCCTGCCTCTCCTCTTTACGGGCGCTTGTTCTGGTTCGGACTCGTGGTTTGACTGCTCTTCCACCTCTTCCTGGACAACTGGCTTCGCCTTGGCTGGGCGGCCTTTTCGCTTGGCAGGCTGCTTCGGAATCTCTGCTTCTGAAATTTCCTCTGTTTCCGATGCTGCTGGCTCAGATTCGGGTTCTGGCACTTCACCGTCGTCCATGCTGACCATTTGCATCGACTCCTCTTCCCCGTTTTCGACACGACCATTTTGCGCCTGTAACACAGCCTCCTCGTCTTCCTCATCTTCGGAAGAGACTGCGCGTCCACTCTTGAATCCGTTGGGACGTTTGCCGTTCAGTCCGGGTCCGTTCTTCTCCAGCGCGCCGTAGTCAAGTTTGCGTGATACTGGTGCCCCACGAGTTGGCTGAGGTTCTATCGGCGACGATGATCTCCGCTGGGGTGACAGTCGTGTCGGTGACGAGGAAGGGCCGAAGCTCGGGTGGCGCATCGCAGGTGATCCGAGGTTCGTCTTGCGTGGGGAGGTTCCTCGGGGAACGAGCCGAGGGTGGTTCTTCATAATCGTGGAAGGCCCGGGACCGGATTCTAACACGGAAGCTTCGTCAGAAACCGAGCGATGTTGTACGATGTCAGTAGGTCTTACCAGACTCCAGCTCCATGTCCTGTTCTCCATCGTCGCTGGCGGATCCATTGTCCTTCTCCGGTGAGGAGAACAGGCCGTCGATGGGTTGCATGCCATGTTCGTCGCGTACGCCCGTGTCGGGCAATTCAATGCCAGTCTTGCTGTGGGGATGTCAGTCTGACCAGTCTGTATAAGAATTCGAACTTGCGATCCACGCCAGCCCGAGGGAAGGAGTGCGCGACGCACCGTCCTTTCACACCAAGCTCATGGAAATCGCCTGTGGAGGTCTCGCGACGACGGACGTTGCTCTGTCGCGGCGGTGCCATTACGAATGTGGAGTTGTGAAATGGTCCGGTTCGAGAAATTTGATTAAAATTCGAGATGGAGCATCCCGATCTGGGTCTTGAGCACGAGTGACTCGGGTGAGAATGAAGGGACGTCGTGAACCGGATCGTGGCCGTGTTTATCTTGGAGTGATGTGTTGTTGGGGAGGTTGACCGCGCGCAACTTTTTGGTTGGCAAGTAAATTGACGACGCGCGCAGGACACACCTGCCTGTGTCGATGGACTTTCAGTGGCCGGGACCTGCTGCAAATGGGGGTTGACAGGGGCAGGTACGTGTGGACTTGGCGCCCCTGCCCAACGCGTCCCCATTAATCTAGACGCGTCGAGGGGCTACCTACCTGCTTAGCCAACAAGATTTCCCGATCCTAAGTTCAAGTCACTTTGTGTGAACAACTGACCTTGGCTTTCACAATCTCAACTATTTTTGTATTCAGCTCGGAATTTAGAGAAGAAGTGTTGCACTTGTTACTCAGAAGATACCCATACGACAACATACGGTGCATACGACACTGCTCTTTTACCTTCTATAGCGGTACCCAGGACGAATCCAGACTGCTCTCAACTCATCTCCAGCTCACCAGTCACAATGGAAGATTCTCCAATGGTCGAGGATATTGCCCTCGAGACTCCAGTTCCGGGCGCCTTTGTCCCCCCTTCTATCAACGAAAAGGCCATTCTCTCAGGCGACTCATACACATACTTCTCCCCAGTTCCCTCAACACTTCTCCCACCAATCACATCAACGAAAAGCAGCACACCTGATGAAACAGATTCACCAGCAGCGTCCGGCACTCCAGTCTGCTTAGGTGTCGATGAGGCCGGCCGTGGGCCGGTCCTAGGGCCCATGGTGTATGGTGTCTTTTACCTACCCATTCCCCTCTCGGATCCCTTACTCCGTGAGACTCATCACTTTGATGACTCCAAAGTGCTTACCCCGGCTGTCCGCTCACAACTCATGACAGCTCTGTGTACGCCAGGCTCCGACCTGGCCGAGACATGTGGGTTTGCCATTTCAGCACTCAGTGCCCGCGACATCTCGTCAGGCATGATGCGCCCGGGAGCCAACTACAACCTCAACGCCCAGGCCATGGACGCCACGGTTGACTTGATCAAGGGTGTCTTTGCCCAGGGCGTCAACGTCCAGGAGATTTACGTTGATACCGTCGGCCAACCCGCCGCCTACCAAGCCAAGCTCCAGCGCTTCTTTCCCGCAACGAAGATTACAGTCGCGAAGAAAGCAGACAGTCTCTACCCCTGCGTATCGGCCGCTTCTGTATGTGCAAAGGTTACTCGTGACGTTGCGCTTGAGGTTCTCTACAAGGGGCGAGCCCCTGACGCTGCGGCAGAGGGAGAGGAGGGCATGGCTTGGGGTTCTGGATATCCGTCAGATGGACGATGTGTGTCATGGATGAGATCTAACATGCACCCGGTGTTTGGATGGGGTCCCGAATGCCGTTTCAGTTGGGGCACGGCCAAGGACATGCTCGAGGCAAAGGGAAACCCAAAGGTGGAATGGCCGGTCGAAGATGACGGCGATACCGCGCGGATGACAGACTACTTCGCGTCGGGTAACAGGGAGGAAGATGGTGATGAATTGGGGACTTGGTTTGGCAGACCGGCTGGCCTAGAGGCGTTTTAGCAGTATAGTTCAAATTGGGATTGTAAATTATGTGTTACTTTTCGAATACCACTTTCAGGATGTGAATATCTTGCCTTGCCTGTCATTACGACGTCCACAGGTGTGACTAGCGATATGTGAATGAACTACAGGGAACAAAGATGGTTCGCTGATGTTTAAGTCATAACGACATTGTCCATAAATATTACCTCGCCATTGCGATACGACATTATGTCTGTGAAGTAGAGTGTCAACAACTGTTCTTCCACAATCCTTCAGAGAGGGGGTTGGTCGTATTCAAAAAGTCCCCGGTTGTGTCTGGCTAGCATCATGAATAGCCTCATTGTCCAGGTTTCGTACCATTTACATGATTCAAGAGTTGACAACTAGCCGCAAGCCAATGCCTTGCATTCGCCCACCTTCTGTGCCATGCCATCGCCGGTCATGTTACACGGTTCCTCTCGTTCAGTGGCATGTCTGTGTGGCACCTCGCCATGTTGTCTCCTTGACTTGCGGCCAACACGGTCTCCTCTTGGCCTGGTCATCGTTTCGTTTTGAGGATGAATCCACACGCATAGTCTTTGAATATCTATCATGATCCACCTAATTCTGAAGAACAAGGAAGACCATACTATCAGTTTCCCATCGCGGCATCTTTCGTTGGCTGCTTTTCATTATGGAGTTCCCTATCACCCTTATTGATCAGCATGAAAGCACCCGGTACTTGTTCTATTCAGCGGCACTGACAGTTTAGGTCGTCAGAGAATTTGCAAAGCTTCCAGTTAGCTGCCAGAGCAGCCTGTCCTTTGATTACAAACCTTTCGCTGGCTCGGCTGTGGTTAGGTACCTTCACTTGAAAACTATAATTTTTCACTTGCGCTTGTGTTATGAACCCTATACGCTTACCACGAGTGAAATGTGATATACACCTCAGCTCCTGGAAGGTCTACTCACTTCAGCCAAAATCAGTCCGCCAGGTCAGCAGGTCCCTCACTCTCCATCAGCCATTTGACTGCGGCAAGGTTACAAGAAGTCTTTCACTCGGTGCTTAGGGACTGAACAGCTGCGGGAAGAATCAAAGCAGAATTACGATGGTTTCGAGTGTTCCCTGCTCACAAAGAGGGCATTGTAAGGTGGCGGTTATTAAGAGTCTAGCCCACGTAAGTCCACGTTAGGGGGATTTTAGTATATAGAATCTAAGTTAAGGAGTAGAGGTTTTTAGAGCGGAGGTTCTATAGAGGTTCTATAAAAGAAAAGCGTTTAAATAAAACCTTTATAAAAGTAATATAGTGAGCTATAGTAATATCTAGGCTAAGGCTCGGATTTATTAATTAGGTCTAGCTTATAATATATACCCTCTTATTTTATTTTTAAAATAAATCCACTATTAGTCCGTTTTTTAATTATAAATACTTTAAGTAGTTAATTACTTTATTTTAACTCGCTAATTAATTACCCGCAGTCCTTTTTATTAATTTTTATTAGGCCCCCCCCCTTTATAAAAAGCTTTTTTTTTTTAATTTTTATATAACGATTTATAAATACTCTAATCTATTTATTTTTATATTTTTATTACTTAAATTTTATTAATTTATTATAAAAATTTAATTTTTAATAAGCCCGCTATCCTTATTATCGTTTTTTATATATATAATTTTTTTTTTATACTCGCGCGCCTATATATATTTAAAAACCCTTTTTTAATTTAAGAAATAGTTAAATAAATATTCTATACGCCGCTATTACTATATTTTTTATATATTATTACTCCGTAGCCTTTTAGCTTTTTATTTATTATTAATACTTTAATAGTTCGTCTTTATTAACTAGCCTACTACCGCCGCTATGCTTATTAAGCCCGTTACTCTATTTAATAACGAGGGTAATACGGATAGTAAAGAGTTAGAGTTTAGCTCTAATTCCGAGCTATTATCTATTTACTTTTTTAAAAACAAGTTAGATATTTAGATAGTACGTTAAACCTATATAGCGTATCCGTTCTCTATTTATAAAGTCTATTAATTTTATATTTAGCCAATATTTAATAAAAAAGGTAAAAAAAAAAAAAAAAAAGAGGAAAAGAAAAAAGAGTATAAGCTTAAAAAGGCTTTTATACTAGGCGCCCTATATAAGGTCCCCTATTTCCTTTATATATAGGCGCTAGCTAAGGGTAATAATACCCTAATTAGCGTCGGTTATTACGACTACTTTTATATACTAAGCTACTATTATTTATTTATTTACGGGTTATTAATTTATTATAAAACTAGAGGTATTATTTACTATACTATTTATACCGATAATAAAGCTAACCGTTATTACGACCCTATATATTTATTATTATTATTTTTTATTTATTTTACGATTATTAATTTATTATTTTTAGCTTAACGACGTTACTAAAGCTATTTAAGTAGAGTTCTTTTAAGTAATCGAGGAGTATTACCGGCTATTAACTTTTATTATAGGCGACCCTATTTTTAAAGCCGTTATATATTTACTTAATATCCGTTATTTATATATCGTTAACCGTTCTTTTTTTATTATTAATATAAGGACTTTATAAATATTTTTAACTATTTATATATCGCTACCGCTATTTAGACTAAGGCTAAAAATAAAGAGGCCTATACCTACTATAATACTTATACCGTAACCGCCTCCCCCGCTATTAAAACGTCCGCCCTTTATATAACTTTTATTAACGTAACCCCTACCTATATAACCCCTATTATTACCCTTACCGCTACCCCTATTATTAAAAGCGCGGCCTTTTTTATTATAAAAAAGGCCTATATTATTAGTAAGTATTACTAGGCCTTTATTTTCTTTTATATTATTATAAGTGCTTTTTTTATATTTTTTTTTTTATAACTAATCCGTTTTTAGGCCGTAGCTCGTTATTAGCCTCCCCCTATTTAGGCTGGGAAAGGTAACTAGCCCTCGGTTTTTAGATTTTAAACGGCCCCTTTTTATATTTATAGTATTACCGTTAGCTTTATATTATACCCTGCGGGGCTAAATAGTTTTTTAGTTTACGGGCTTTAATTTAGTTACTTTTTTATTTTTTATTTAATACCCGTTTTTTTATTATTATTATAATTTACGTAATTATTATAGGCTTTTAGTGCTTTTTAACTCTATTTTAATAACTCGGGTTATTATTAAATTTTTTAATAAGCTTATAGCGTAATTTAAACTCTTTTAAAGCGTCCGTTAAACGGAATAAAAATAGGGGTTTTTATATTAGCTCTTAATAGCCCTCTTATTTAACGAGGACTTCTTTTCGCTATCCGTAGCCTATATACTTTTATTATACTATAAATATTTCTTTAACTAATTAGTAGTCCCCGTCGTTTTTTTTTAATTAAAAAGGGCCTCTTATTTATCCATTATTAATTTAATAAAGGGTCGTTCGCTATACGCTATAATATATTAATATAAAAATAGAAGTAAATATTACTAAGTACGTTAAGCTATATAACGGTGGGTTTTATAACCTCGACTACTTTATATTTATAGTATAGCTAATTTAATTTTTTATTAAGTTTAAAGGACTTATAATTATTTATATATAGCTATACTTTATTACCGATTTTAAAGCGCTTTACCGGCGCTTTTTATTTATTAACTAAGCGCTCTATCCGTTCTTATAAAATAGCTATAACGGCCTAGGCGAACTTCGTTATTTTTATAAGTTTTTATACTATAAAATTAGCTTTTATTTTTTATTTATTTACCGCTTTTAGTACGCTTTTTTAAATCCTTAGGGGCTCGACGTTATACTTATATTTTATAAAAAAAGGTAAGAGCTTTGTTATTAAAGTTATTTAGTTATTAAGGCTTAGTTAAATAATTAGTAGCTAGTCCTTTTAATTATCTTAGGTATATACGATTATATATTATAAAATTATTTTAATTTCTTAGTTAAATTATTTAATTAACCCGTCGGTCTATAAATAAAAAGCGGTACTTAGGTACTGCTCTATCTCTATTTTTATATAGAATCGGTACTAGAATTTATTAGTCTAATTACTACTACGATCGCTTATAATAAACCGAGGTATTTTATAGAATTAAAAGTAGTAGTTAATAAAACGGTCTATATAAGCCTCTATTTCTATAAATATTATCGGTTTAAAAATAACGGACTTTATAAAGTAGTTAACTATTATTTATAAAAACTAAGCGCCGCTTTTTAATAATAAAGGGAGGTCGGTAATAAAGTCTATTGCTAGGTCGTTTTTTATTTATTTTAGTATTATAAAAGGCTATAAAAGGCTATATTTAGCCTATTACTATATAATACTCTCTTTATAGGTATTATAGTTTTAAATAAACCTCTTTATTATATTAAATTAGCTTAGTTAATAAAATTACCTAGATAGGATAACTATAATAGCGTTTTTACTAGGGTAGTTCGTTATTAAAAATCCGTAATAGCGCTAAATTATTTTTTATTTAGAGCGCGTTATCGTTATAATCTAGGTCTTTATATCTAGGGACTTATAGTCTTTTTTATTAAGTTAGTTTTAAAAGTGCGTTAATATTATATTTTACGATTTATAGTTTAAGGCCTAACTTAAGGAGGAGCGCCCTAGCTCTGCTCGATATTACTTTATATATTTTAAAGTATTATTTATTTTTTATTTTTATTTTATTTTATTATCGTTAGAGCTTTACGTTATTTATAAAAATATCGGTCTTAAATAGCTCGGGTACTTTTATAATTTCGGTTTAGTAAATTGCGCCGGTTACTAGTTAAGTAGAGTTAGGAATTGTTTAAATAATCTTTTCTTTCTCTTTTTTATTATTTTAACTAGTTAGGGCGTCTTATTTATGTTTAAAGAGCGCGTCTAGGGCGGCTAATAAACGGCTTAAATAGTATTTAATTTTAAAATAGTATTATAAAAATTATTCTATTTAACGGCTTTAGCGCTTAGTTAGCTTTTATTTTTATATAAAATACTCTAACCTTTTATAGTCTATAATAATTTTAAATCTATAGGAGCTCTATAGCTCTGCGTTTTATATACTTAAATAGGATATTATAACGAGGAGTTCTTTATTATAAATTAGGTAGTTATACTAGGCGGGTATA